TCGCGCCTAAGCGCTTCGCAATTTCCGTCTGAGTGTGTAAAGTCAGTAGCGCATAACTTACTTGTTTGTGCATCTCGATATTCAGACCATATGTTATCTCGTAGTACATAACATAGTGACGCTGAAGTTCGTTTTTTTCTTGGAGTGATTTCTCATATTCGACTTTAAAACTGCAAACAATATTTTCAAAATGCAATTCATACTTATGGCATTGTTGCTGCAAAAACGTCAATTCATCCTTTATTCGTTCACAGGCGTCCGGGACCGAAAATTTCAGCTGATTTGACTGTGAGACAGCCTTGAATGGAAATTCGAGGAAAATAGGAAGCACTTACGTTTTGCCGTGAGGAATACATGATGCGTAGACTACACAAACATCTGCGATGCCTAATCCGTTTTGCCGCTTCTAATTCAGTTGATTAAAACACGAGTTTTCCTGGGTGTTCTCACCGCTTTCAGAATTCGTGGGCTCAAAACATTCCAAAACTTTATCTGAAAATTCTCCACTTGAAGGCAAATTCTATAGTGTTTGTATAGCCTTATTTTCTGCCACTGAAAATGCCATTTTCGTAGCTGTGTAAGTAAATTTATTTTTGATTTAAAATGGCCATGAGATCTCGGTTTGAAATCATTTTCTACAGTTTCACATTTATCATCAATAAATATGCATGCATGTTAATTCAATAATTATTAACGCTTATTTCTTCTTTTCAATAATAGGCATTCTTATTCTAGCTCAGTTTGGTTTATCAAGTGAAACAGATATAAGCCGTTGAGTGTTGTATGACCATCGGTTTCGATGACGTGCACCGTGTGCTCAAGAGCAGAGACGGTCATGGAGCTAAGTAAGAGATTTTAAAGAAATAGACCCATAACTTTCTACCTCACTCTAAGCCTCCACTGCATTAAACCGGGGACAAGACCGAAGTCGAGATGACCGAGCAGGCATTGGGCGGAAGCCACTCACTCCAATGCAGCCTGAAACTTAGTCTTTAGTGACAGTAGACTTTGCGCGTGTCATACTACACTGTCTACCCTCACTCACCTGTAGTAGGTGTCTAGCCAGACTCTAGGAAGCCAGGGCTGTTACTAATACTTCTACCACTACTGTTATTTCTTATACTACTAACTAGGGTGTAGCTAAGTGACAGTACTTGCTTGTACTAGTACTAGCTGTATTGTAAGTCAGAAGTGACGCTGATTAAATTCATCACTGGGATCATATCCCCTCAATCTAAACCTGGAGTGTATTAGTACTGGTGCTAGCTCTGGCGCTAACATTTGTCGGAGGTGACGCTGGGTTAGCTAACGCTAGGGCTTATATCCCTTGATCTCAACAAGGAGCGTGAATTTTGGTTCGGACTGTTCCGAGTAAGTATATGTATGGGACCCTGAGCACAAAAGCGATGGCCCCGGTTTCCGCACTCTCAACTCTATCCATCGAGCTGTACGGACTAAGATACTTGTTGCTATGGGTACGTGCCTATGCTAGAGGTGCTAATTTCTGCAAATCATGCGTACCAAGGCCAATAGATAATATACTATATGTACAGCCTGTGTGTGCTGTTTTGGAAGTCACACACAGTACGCGCTCCCAATCTGTGTGAGGTAATAGTGATTAGCATTTGGATAATAATAGCGTTTGTAAAGTAATGCACAAGTCTTACCATGCCCTTATGTCGAGCAATTCGCCGTTTATAGACTACATTTTGGCCTAATACAGTATATATCTGTAGAAGTACGACAATACACTATAGTAGGACAGTGTAAGTCACTCCAGCAGGAATAGGACATTATTAGTGATGCTGGTAGT